AAATCATATTTCTAAACAAGAGATCTTGGCCAACAATGATTAGCCCATTATATGTACAAGAAGTAATTTAACTCTTTGTGCAAAACTTTACATCTAAATAACAACACGCAGAGGTAAATTTATATAATTATTTCACTTTTTCACTTCTTGTGAAATATGTTTTAATAAATATCTTTTACGGTTTTTAGTTTTGAAATATAGCAAATGTTGGAATTTTAAAAAAACTACATCAATTTTATTGAAAAGATATATTAACCCTTAATGAACTTAAAGGCCCATTCTAAAATACATTCATGAAAGAACAAAAAATTCAATACTCTTAGGTATCTAACTATACCAATATAGTTAATACATAACCAGGGGAAGGGACATTTACAAAGGTTTTTGCATGTTTAGTTATTAAATTATTACACATATTTCTGCAGATACTTCCTAAAGTAGCTATGTAGGCCCCCACTATACCAATTGTGTTAAATTACTTTTAGGAGGCACTCTAGAAACATACAATATATGACTAAAGTTTCTAAGTCATCTGAAGGGCATAACTTTTGTATTTACTCTTGTTTATGGTTTACATAAAGAACTGCATAGAAAAAAGTAAACTTCAAACTCAGGTTATAAACACACCTTACAGACCTAATCAAAATGCCTCCAGAGTACTAAAATCTATAGCTATGATTTTACTCATTTTCTGTTTATTTAAGATCTAATTGGAACTATGAAAATAAACACTTCTTGGCATTTTTCATAACCTATCATCTATTGATATGGAACTGCAATGTTCATTTTAGATTATTATTTTTACTTGCCTTTATACATGCAATCCACTGGATTTGCAGGCAAAATTGAATCTGGCTAAAAATGTTTAGAACTCTTATTTAGGGGAGTTAGTAGGACTATTGCAGCATTCCACTGGTGCGATATTTCCTGCAAATACACTAAAGGCAGAAAAGGGCTGTCCTGAAAACTGCATTTATTAAAGTTATCTGTAAAATAAACGAATCCTGGGACTGTGGTAGGCATTTAATTCCTATGATTGTTAAAATAAAATATAAATTGTTTTCCTAATAGTTATTGTCTGAGAAGAAAATGACAATTCTAAAATAATAAATAATCCATTCAAAAGTATATGTAGCTCTTGTAAAAGATTATTCTTGAAAACAGTGCCTAAAGGTTAAGACATTATTCAATCCATGTAACTTTTTAAATGCTGTATTTTTTAAAATAATGTTTCTATTAAATTTTACTCTAGTGTGGGCATTTGCTTTAATTTTTGAGATGCTTTCTTTCTCATTATATACCACCTTAAAATGTGAATTATTTCACATAAATTGAAACAGTTGCAGTAATAATCCATTATTTTAATGGATATAATTTTAATGATTTTTAGGTGTTTAGTTTGAGTGAAATCCAGAGTTCCAAAGAAATAATGTTTATTTTAAAACAAATACAAACTTATTTTCAAACAAGTGTACTCATTCTGGCCTAATATAAGTATATGCTTACAAAGCTTCCTTTTCTCTGTCACTGTTTCTACAGACTTGAGTCAGTGAAGAATGAAGTGGCTGTTTTTTGGTTGAAAAGCAATTTTTTTTTTCTTTTTTTACAAAATCAGGAAAAATGATTCTATCTTATAAAATGAATAACAGACTACTTAAAAGTGTATCTTTATTTTGTATTTTTTACTTTTCCAGATAGAAAGAGAATATTGTATTTTATGAGACACTAGGAGAACACAAAAAAGTGCTCTTTAATGTTATTGAAAGGTCTATATTCAAAATATCTTGGAATAAATTTCAAGAACAGCAACAGATCATAGTGTTTACATGATTTACAATCTCTCAGCAGATTTCAACTAATTAGTAGCTAATATTTGCAGCTATCACAGGCAGGCATCTGTCTTGTGAAAAGTCCTTGTGGTCCTTTTCACCTTAGCTCAGACTTGAAGAAATTCATTGTATAAGCAAGTATCAAGTAATGTGGCCCTCTGGTGGAAAACTAAGTATCACGTTCTGCAGCACAATGTAAGATAGTAAACTATAAGCTATAAAATATTTGTTACAAAGCTTTACAGACCTTCCAAAAATCATCCTATGAGTTTAATTAATATCCTGACACCTGAAGGGTACTCTGGTACTGGTATGACGTAACTAATATGAAAATCTTAGCTTTACTCATCCTTCAATCATGTTCCAAATAACAATAAATTCTTAGCTTCTTTTAGCTTAACACAACATGCTCAATTTGCTATGAATACATTTTTCATATTCAAGAAAACAAGCTTATTTGTTTTAAGGAAGTACTGAGGAAAACAAAACTTACCTGCTGTTGTTGCAGATGCAGCAGTTCTACTGTGCTTACTTCAGAGCTGGTGTCACCACTTGATCTTCCATCTCTGCTGCCAGCATCTAATTGGCTGCTTAGAGTGCTCATTCCATTTTGATTCATTGAACTGTTGCTTATTGTCTCTGTCGCAGATTCCTGCATCATGACTTAATACCTAAAAGTGATTAAGAAGTATCAATTAACACACGTTACACCTTCACACTTCCATTATCAAGATGTCCCTCTCTGCCAATTACAGAGACAGCATCTTTAGAAGGGGTGGGGGGGAGCCTTGAATAGTCATTTACCAAGGAAAGCAATACAAATTCAGCTTCCAACCAGATGCTAATCATTGAAATTATGGTTTCTATAAGAAATTTTTGTGTGGTTACATTTAACAGCCAAAGTAACGTACCAGGCATATAGCATGGTCAATAGCATTTATGAATGACCACATTTTAAAATCTACCTATAAAACCAGTTTAAAAGAAGGCACGATTGCACAGTCTGTTCTGTTTCCTATTATCTACCTTTGACAACCATGGATGACTATACAGCCTTATTTTAAATATTCACTATCTTGATTCTGTCAAAATTTTACAGCACATCTTATGCAAGGCTGTTGTTTAATGATGCACAGCTAATCATACAAAATTAAAATTTTGTAAGGGTGTTACAAATCATATGGTATCAACCAATGATAAATAGTATAATGGGTTTCTTTTTTTGTGACTAAATAAAATTTTGCCTTGGAGGCATTTTAAGAAAAAGCTCCTGCTGCAAACACGTCAGATATTGCCTATTTTTTTAATCAAACAGCTCATATTCATTTATTTTTCTGACATTTAAAACATTTAATACTGTCCTTCCTGGGAAGTAATTAAGCTTATGCATGAGCAGCAATCAAACTGTTCACTTGAAGATGACTTAAAACTCAATTTTAACATAGGCAAATAAATGAAAGATATAAAATTAATTTTCCAGGCATGTATAAGATATGAAAGCTGGAAATAAAATCTATCAAGAATATCACTAATGATTGTGCTAAAAACAGCATAAATTATGCATATTACCTTCTCTACAGTAATAAATGTTTTATCATTTTCACTGCATAAATATACTGTACTTTCAGGATAGCAATGAGATGTCCTGCCAAGATCAGTGGAAATCCTTGCAGTAAATAAAGAACCAATGTGCTCTTACAAACCAGAATTTCATAGTACATCCTGAATCTGTGGTTTAGAACGATCAGTTTTGGCTCTCAAAGACCTCTGAATCCTATGCCATAACCTAATGGATACACTTCTCTGCTTTACTTCTACGGACAGAATTTCAGAAACAACCTGGCTATGCTGTGACTTTAACAGTAATACCAGCTAGACAGTGGACTTAACCTAAAGTAAAGGACATTAAACTTGTCACTCATTCTAATTTTTTATATGATTTCAATATTTTAAACTATATTTTAATACTTTGTCCATTTAAAATTTTGAAATCCATTTATTATAAAGCAAATGCAAGCTTACTCTCTCTTCCTATCATGAAGAAATGTTTACTCCAGTTATCTTTTAAAATGTGATGCACACAAATAAACACTAGATACAAAAAGAATCACAGACACACCCAAAATACATTTTGGAATACCAATATTAAAATTGTTAAAAGTAATGTTTATAATAGTTTTAACAGATATTTTCATTAAAGACTAAATTGTTAAATTATTTCTCCTACTCTTAAGAAGTCCATTTAAAAAAAAAAGACATACTGTTTTAGAAAAAAACGTCAATAGCTGGACTAGCAAAGCAAGTTAGTGTAACAAAAACTACATATACAACATGAAGCTGTTTTGATAATTTAAAAAATACAACGGAAAATATGATTATAAAGGAAGTAATTGCTGTAATTACAGTAAACAACTTTTGAGCCAAATGTGTTTATAAACAAATAGATTTTGCTAAACATCTTACTGAACATTAACAAAGAAAAAAATCATATAAATTAAAACTGATACACAGTGATGGATTTTATAGGGAAAAAAACAAAGCTAACACTGCTTTCTGAGATTAGGCAGCTAATAAGTATTCAAATTAGGCATAAATTTTACATGCACAATGTTTAAAATATTCAGAGAAAAGGTCTGATTGCCTTTACTAGTTATATGAAAATTATAATTTCAATCCTCTCCAACTGTAGAAACAGGCATAACTTCTACATATTGCATTTAAATTTTACTTTTGACAACATATCTGGAATACATGTATATATGTGTGCTTTTATTTCATCACCTAAATTATTTGAAATATTTATTGTTTCTGGAAAGAGTTAGCAACACAAGGAATAAAAATAAAGCACTATATTTTCAAATGTAGCAGACAGGTGCAGCATTTACTACTAACCTTTGGGGAGTAAATCTCAGGACCAATTGGATGAATTAAATAATTTTACAGGTATTACTGTGTTATAGTCAAGGCCATCAAATAATTAAGAATAATCAACAAGCAAAGAGGCATGTGTCTAAATCTTTATTACAATTACAAAGAAAGACCTACAAAACTTATAATTCCTGTTAACTAAAGGATTTTATTATTATCCCTTGTGGAATTTTTGACTTTATAAAACCCTACAGTATAAATTGTGATTTACATTTTAAGTTCAATCATCTAAGAGTTTAATGCTTAAGAAAACTATAGCAGTGATAGCACTTTTTGCTCTACAAAAAAAGGAGTATCTGATCTAGCAGTTACATGAAAAAAGAAGGATGATTTTGTAATTAGATGATTATACTGTACATTTCACTTAAAGAAAAAAGCTTGGATGTCTACTATAAAGGAGGAATTTTTCAAGGACAATGTAGATTATTTCTAGCATTTACTAAGTTTCTCTTGGTAACACTTCCACTTATTTTCCACTATAGGAAATATTTCCAGTACAATGTGAAGTCCTGTTTACTTTTAAGTATATTTTAAATAATAATAAATTCAGCATATTCCTTCAGAGTGGATGTGCTTGTGATCCCAAACATACCGAACTAAATTATTCATTCTTCTCAATCCCATCACAAACATTTTACAAAAATCAGTGAAAATAAATTCCAGATCATTAAAGGGAAAGATGAATCTGGGAGTCCCTGTTTTAATGTTTGTCTGAACTGTAAGTTAAACCTTTAGGTCTTTCATCGTACACAACTTTTCAGCCACATCAGAAAATAAGTCTTCAGATCTTGCACTCAAACAATACAGTTCTACTTTTCTCCCCTGCATTAAGTTTTCTTTCCCTTCCTTTTTCTTTCTTCTTTTTTAAGCAAGTCACTATACAGATACTTATTCTCTACACCACTTCCCTTTTGAAACATTAAACTGACACTGGAACTGACTGCACAAGATTGCATTTTCTCTTCCTAAACAACTTGAATTGAAAGGTTACTTAGTGTAACAATATTTACTTGCAGAATTGTGTTGTTACCAAGGGTATAATGGATGGTGGCTATGCAGGTTTACGCAAGAATGAGTGAAGCATGAGGCATTAGCCATGTGTTTGACATGTTTCAAATTGCTATAATCCAGCATTAAACACACCCAGCAATTCATGCCATTTCTTGCAGCCATAATCTTGAATAAAGCGTGCACAACCACTTATTATATAAATTAGTATATGACTCCCTGTTATAGTCACAACAGTGCTTTTGTGTTTATTTTGCATCAAGATGTAGTCTTTTATTTGTACAAATAGCAGGATATAAAGACATAGCTCAATTAGACCTCCTTACTTTATGATAGGGTAGTACTGAATGCTAGGCTTGTTGTTTTTATTTCTTCCTCATAGAGTTATAGGTTCTATTGGTATAAAACAGTATCATGTGAGATAGTTACATGCCAGAGTGATAACAAAAACCTGTGCATATCCTATTCTATATTTGCTGCAATGTTCAAAAGTTTGAAACTTGACCTGGGCAAGTATAGTTAATTGTGTTATCTCAGCCACCACCAGGGACACTATTGGTCCTTGTTGCTTACTCAACTTTTCTCTATGGTCTTCTGTCTCATCTCTTCTCCCTCCCTGTTTCTTATGCTCCCTACCTCTTTTCAACTCCACATTCCCATGTCTATATGTGTGCATATGAAGAAGTGTATTACATATATATTTATAGAAAGATAGATCAATCTGTCTATATATGTCAAAGATTGTAAAGAAGATAAAAATAGCCTCCACTTTGAACCACACTCTGCAATCTACACAATCAGACACTCTGTTTTATAATCCTAGTGCCTTAATATTAATTCTCATTTTGGTGGGGGAGTCTTACTATTTAATCAAAACAAATGGATGAAAAAAAATGACTTCCCAGAAAACTAAGAGCAAATAACAGTACATATAAAACATTTCCAACAATTTATTTCGTGAACTTTTCTTAAATAAAATCATTAGTGACCTTGAAAGACACTTTATGTCTAATATCTGATTCATTCCAGTGTCCAATTTATTTAATCAAATACAAACATTAAATTCAAAGAGTTCTGAATATGACACTTTAAGAAATGTAAACCATCAAATTAAAAACAAATATTCTTAAATGCTTCCTTAATCATTTATCAATCATCAGTATCAAACATCAAATATTTCTATGCAGATTCACACAAAAAACTGTTAAATATTAAGAAAACATATGTAACAAGAAACCATATACGTTTACCTCAAAATATTAGTTAAATTCAGATTTTGAAAACTTGACTGTGATTTAAAACTTCTGAAAGAAACTAGCATTTAAATAATGATAATTCTTGTGCTCTAGTGGAATTAATTCATCATGGGCACCATGCATAGTGCATTTGAAAACCAGCACTGCTTTGCTTAAAGTCTTTAATGCTAAGATTGCCTAATAAATCAAAATGACAAATATGAAGGATATTGTTGAATATGTAAGAACAAAAATTGAAACAGCACATGAATATTTTCAATTTTTAAAAACTGAAACAGGGTGTCTTTTAAAACATGATTTGGGGAAGGGTATCTGTTATAGCAAATGACACTTTTATTAAAACAAGTGACAATTTTAAGTAAATTAAAATTAACTTGTTTATTAAGTATGTGTTACTACTTTTTATTTATTTAAACAGAATGCCTAAAATGCTATAGACAAATAAAGGTTATTTTCTTGGGGAAAAAAAAGCGCTTTAG